CTTGTGCTTAGCAGCTCAGTAAGCTGATCCTACAGTGCCACACCAGGCCTCAATTCTGGCAGCAGTTGTCTTTAAAGAGAGTAAGACGGGAAGAGGAACTAAGAGAGACTCAGCGGCTACTTGAGATAGCTGAGTTGTTTCAGGATTTAAAGAATGAGAACAAAGACTGTTAATGATAAGAAACAGGAAATGTGGGTGGATAAACAGGATGGAGTCACATTACCGGTGGTCTCTTCAGCAGAAAGAGAAGTTTCGGCTTGATACATAAGAAAATTGTGAAAATGAAACAGTAATTTACTCAGCAGAAAGGGTAAAACCCAAGATTCATTACCTACGTAACCTTGGTAAATCCTTTCTAAAACGGGACTATTCGTGCACCAATGTCAAAACATTTCATCTTCATGTTTACATAAAAAGTAAAGCACTGTATGAATACGTGAAAGGCATTATAATGATTACTCTCTGAAGATTTACAAAGCATTCTTCCTCATAGAAACTAAGTTTGCCTGTTTTACTTGACTTCGTGGCGTTAAGCTGCTTCCTCACAAACACAAAAGCCGGCTTCTAAGCAGGTGTAAGAGATCTTGTGTTGGACTGTGGGAAGACAATGATACTTTGGCCATCATCTACATGTGGAACTACATTACTAGATGAATGGAAAACAGAGGGACATCTCTGATAAAACGGCTAAGGATTAAGAAGGTCTTTGTTGGAGGATGTACTTCTACATGCAATGTATTTCTCAAGTTATATAACACTGTTCTGGAAAGAGCACTGGTAGTGCTGTACGGTACGTACTGAACTGTTAATCACAAGGTCGGCAATTCAAGCCCACCAGCCACTCCACTGGAGAAAGACCAGGCTCTCTAATCTCATAAAGATTTACTAACTCAAAAACCCTCTACTGAGTCGCTGTGAGTGGAAACCAACTCAATGGCACCTAACAACAATGTCTGCAAAGTTCTTTATAAACCACAGAGTCCAGGATGGCACAACCCTGATGGGCTGTAAATGACGATAAATCTGAGGCGCTGGCATGGGACAGTAGGCAAGAGAGCCATGATAACACATTTGTACCACGGCCACATGAAGACCTTGGTAGGTACAGGACAGTTTTACTTTGAGAAGAAAAAAAAAATTAAGGTGTAAAAAACATTTGGTAAAATAGTATCAAATAGTTTCCTTGAGGAAGGTGAATGGATGCTTTTTCCTTTCATTCTTAGATTTATTATTTATTTTCTAATTTTTATGTGGTAAAAATGTTGTTTGTATAATAGCTAAAGGGCTTAAAATCAATGACAACAAAAGAAACAATCCTTTATTAAATCACAGCGGTCCTTTAAAAGTCCCATTAACCAAATTAACTGCTGCTGCTGCGTGTGTCACTTCCAACTCATAGCGACCCTGTGTATACGGTTTCCAAGCGTAGTGTTACAAGCCAGGCTGCTAACCTCAAGGTTAGTAGTTTGATATTACTAGGCCTGTCGTGCGAGAAAGATGAGGTTTTCTGCTCCCGCAAAGATTTAAACTAAACCCTAAACAGCAAGCTTCCCCACTGGTTAATGCTGAGAGGTCATACCCAACACAGGAGAAAACCATCAATTCACATCATCGTTCCATTTCAAATGGGTCCATTCATTGAGTAAACACTGAGGGATAAGTGGTTCATGGAAAATTCCAACAATGGGCAACTAATGACGCACATAATTAAAGAGGCAAATGACCTGGTTATGAATGTCCTCCTTGCTCTTTTTGTTTTTTTCCAACTCTACTTTTAGCATCAAAAATGGTTCTTTAGGATGTGAGGTGTTTGGGTGGCTGGTAAATGGGTCACTTTATTAATTAAGAAAAGTCATAGTGAGGACCTTGTTAACCCTATTTCATCAAAAAGGCTAATTACTGTGTGAAACTGATCTCAGTATCTGTGCTAAGAATGTGATCCAGGACTCAGGAACAAGCCATTTCAGATAATGATTTACCAGCCTTGGGGCTTTGGAGCCAAATGGAACAGCAATACAGTTTTTAATGACAAGAAAGACGTTTTCAGGGATATAAAGAACTTGAAGGTAATAGTAGTTCATGGGAACATAGCCATTATAAACAACCACATACCAGAACCCAGGCCTCTTGATTTACAATCCATTACTTTTGCTACGGACACGAGAACAACTCTTCTTGCTAGACATCTTAGTGTAAAATCACCAGAGGATGCATATACATTCATGATGGGTAGTGAAAACAAGAGGTCATTATCCATCATGAATATAGATGCAAAAGACAAAAAAAAAGCTCAGATGTAGCAAACTAAGAAGCCCCAGTAGTGTAGTAGATTATGAGCTGGCCTGCAAGGTCAGCAGTTCAAATCTACCAGCCACTCCTGTTAAGATTTACAGCCCTGAATACCCTATACAAGGTTCCTATGAGTTGGAATCGACGTGGTGGCACACAACCACCAACAACAACAAATAGCAAACTGACACAAAAACATATAAAAAGGATAATATATTATGTCTAAATGATGTGTGCCCAAGGAACACTAATATTTGAAAAATCAATTGATGTAATTTACCATGTGAACAGTCAAGAAAAATCTTATGAACCACCCCAACTGAAGCAAACAAAGCATCTTACAAAATACATATATAATGCTGATAAGCTCTCAAAAAACTGAGAACAGAAGGAAACTCCCTCAAGCTGATAGAGAACATCTAAGAAAATACTACAGTTAATATCAAATCTAATTTAGAGAAACTAAGTGTTTACCCCCTCAAATCAGGAATGAGATAAGAATGTATGTTCCTCAGTCCACAAAGACAAATAACCCACTTTGGTGAGTAGTAACTGGAATCTTACAAGCTCATGAGTGACCATCTAAGGTGAAACTACTAGTATTACCCTCTCAAGAGGAAAGAAGAGTGATAAAAATTTGGAGCAATCAGTCCGATAAATTAATGGAACATGTGAACATCAGTATGCAGGACCCTGAGACCAAAACAACCACATGCTGCCCGGCTGCCACTACCAATTGCTCTAAAAATGATCTTATTAGAAGGTTCCGCATAGAGTGAAAAAATGTGGAACGAAACTCAAAATCGTAAAACAAAAACAGGCTTACTGGTCAGAGACTGGTGGAACCCCGAGACGATGACCCTTGGTCACCCTTGAGGTCTACAAGTGAACTCATCCCCGTGGTTTAATTTTCACCCAAGTAATAGATAGTCTATGAAGTCTTGGTGTGGCACTGTGAGCTAATGCCCTGGACTGCAAGGTCAGTTTGCACTGCAAAGTTGGTGGTTCAAACTCACCAGCTGCTCCTTGGAAAACCTATACAGGATCTCTATGAGTCAGAACCAACTCCACAGCATTTAATGACAACAACAGCAACAACAACATAAGGGAGACAACAACACTAGTGAGGAAAGCACACATAAAATGGTCAACCATTCAAGATCAAAAGGGAAGCATTTCCCCAAGGGCAAAGTTCAGAAGGTTGCCAAAGGAGGAGGAATGGAAACAAGAAACACAGAGAAGAAGAGGAAGTAGGATCAATGATGTCACATGGGGGGATGGCACACCTTGAGATGAAACAAAGTGAATGATTTGTTGAAATGTTTTAATGGCTAATCTTCTCTATAAGTCTTCACTCAATTAAAAATAAAAAGTTTTCCTTCTTCTCCGAGAAAACAGCAAATGGCGGATGACACTGGCGCTGCAGAAGCGGAGGCTTCGGTAGTGGTCTGTGGGGCTGGGATTGCGGATGTGGCCGAGGTGCTCACTGAGGCAAAGCCAAGGACAAGGAGTGGCTCCCTGTCACCAAGCTGGGTCATCTGGTCAAGGACATGAAGATCAAGTCCCTGAAGGAGATTTACCTTTTTCTCCCTGCCAATCAAGGAGTCTGAAATCATTCACTTCTTTCTGGAAACGTCCCTCAAGGACGAGGCTTTGAAGATCATGCCTGTGCAGAAACAGACGCGCACTGGCCAGCGAACCAGGTTCAAGGCATTGATTACCATTGGAAACTACAATGGTCATGTCGGCCTAGGCATCAAGTGTTCCAAGGAGGTGGCCACAGCCATTCGCGGGGCCATCATCTTGGCCAAGCTGTCCATCATCCCCGTGCAGCAAGGCTACTGGGAGAACAAAATCGGCAAACCCCACACAGTGCCTCACAAGGTGACCGGCCGCTGCGGCTCTGCCCTGGTGCGTCTCATCCCTACATCCAGAGGCACTGGCATCATTTCAGCCCCTGTGCCCATGAAGCGCCTGCTGATGGCTGGTATTGATAATTGTTACACCTAGGCCAGGAGCTGCACTGCCACCCTGGGCAACTTTGCCAAGGCCACCTTTGACACCATCTCCAAGACCTACAGCTATCTCACCCCTGACCTCTGGAAAGAGACTGTGTTCACAAAGTCTCCCTACCAGGAGTTCACTGATCACCTTGTAAAGACCCACACCAACAGTCTCTGTGCAGAGGACTCAGGCTCCAGCCGTGGCAACCACATAAGAAGCTTTGATAAAAGAGAAATAAAAGTGAATTCAGACTGAAAAACAAAACAAAAAAAATACATAATAAGTTTTCAAAAAACACAACAACAAACAAAAAAGATCGTACATTCTTACTGTTCTGAAGGTTGGAGACAATGCAATACAGGAAGAAACATAAAAAGCATAAAGGTTAAACAAAAAAGAGTAAAACTGTCTTTATTCACAGACAGAATGACCCTAAGGGGCCCTGGTAGAATAGTGGACTATGAGCTGGACTGCTAACTGGAAGGTCAGAAGTCTCAAACTACCAGTTGCTCCGTGGGAAAAGATGAGGATTTCTGCTCCCAGAAAATTTACAGCCTCAGAAACCTTATTCAGGGCTACTATCGGTTGGAATCGACGTGATGGCACATAACCATAATCACCCATGTACACAGAAATCCCACAGAATTTATAAAAACATTACAGTGATTAACTGAGTGAATCACCACCAGAAGCCTTTTGTAGTACCAATTCTCAAAATGTCATCTTTTCATGCGGGTAGAAACACAAAAGTGCTGGAGACCCTAAAAATACATGACCCAGAGCAAAAAAGGGAGGGGTGGCATTGGTTTCCAAATTCCTTATAAAGATTATTCAGGAGACATCAAGTCAGAGTGACCAAGAACTGCCAGTTTTGACAATGAAATCACAGCCCAAGGAAAATAAGAGTCTATGAATGCTGCTCACTTTCCAAGGTCACACTTTATACCTAGAAGACTTGGACTGTTTCCATTCCCGGACCCCACGAACCATCTTCCATTTACAACTCTAGCCCTAATGTCAATACAGAACCTAGCAATTTCCAGCAGTGTTAAAGAAATCAAAGATGTGCTCCCATACTTAAATGCTGGAAAAGGTATATGGCCCAACCTGGCTTGTGGGGCAAAAAAGGTATCCCAGAGGGACAAGACTCAATAGATGGAATCTGGCCTTTGCTTTCCCTGTCACTTCTTCCCATGCTTGTGTTCACACTGAGATGACAGTCCCATTTTTTTCCTGGCTTTGATGCAGGTAGGTCTGTATTAGCAGGAGTGGACGGCCCAGGTTTGGAGTCACTGTTTACAAGGGACCTACAATCCTGCTTTCAGAAGACAGAAACAGAGTTTGTGATATGACTTACCTTATGGCACATGTAAGATCCACCTTTCTTCACCCGGTCTTTCCCAGAAGGGGGTCCTTTCTGTAGATGAAAACAAGGGATTAGTCCAGAGAGTATGGCTGGCCCTCACACAGTGGGACAGAGTTCATTCTGCTCCAATTCTCTCAAGTTGTCCACACACCCTCCCAATTGGCCACCTCTTCAAATTCTATCCATTCTCCAAGTAGCCCCATTTTGGTAAAGTGTTTCTGGCTACAGGAAACAGTCTTGCCTCTGAACCTCAAGAGCAGCCCTTGTCTAGGTGACAGCACTTCTGACATCACCTTTTCAGGTTGAGATGCAAATTCACCCTGCATTATACTTGGTCTGCTCAACTAGAAGGTCAAATCCTCTTTGAAGGATACATTTTTGTAAGTCTACTGTGCAACACCTAATCAACTCGCTGCTGACTGAATGAAGGAATGTGGGTGCTTATTTATTTTTAGTTCAGCTTTATTAAAGAATAATTTACATACAGTCAAATCAACCCTTTGTAAACACACAGTTCCTATGAGTTTTGACAAATATATAGTCATTGGTAACCACTACCACAATCATAAGGAGCTCTGATAGTTTAGTGGTTACTAGCAGAGCTGCTCATCTCAAGGTCGGCAGTTTGAAACTATCAGCGGTTTCATGAGAGAAAGATGGAGCTTTCTGCTCCCATGAAGATTTACAGCCTCAGAAACCCTGTACAAGTTTAGGAACCAATTCGACAACACACAACCACCACAATCAACATGTAGAACATACTCTTTCCCCCCCCGCCTAAAAAAAGACTTATGTAGTGCTTACTATGATCCAGGCACAGGTCTAAGCACTTTGCAAATATTAGCTCATGTACTCTTCACGACAGCTCTGGGGCAAGTTAAGCCACAAGTGGCAGAACAAGGACATGTACCCAGGCAGCCTGGCACCAGAGCCCACACTCTTAACCACTGTGCTCCCAGTTATGGACGACAAGGAGGCAAGAATTCCTTCTTCACTGTAGTAAGAACTCAAATCCATACACATGGAGCCCAAAAGGAAGCTGTCTCTCCTAGGAAGGGCTCTGAATAAATGTGCACTAGAAATGCACACTCCAATGCTTTAGTTGCTAGGATGCGAGCTTCTAAATAAGTTAAGTCAAGCAAAGAACATCTGACAGGTCCCAAAAAGCTTCCACAAGGCAAAACTGTTATGAAGAATCTGAGAATTTTTTTCTTTCCTCCTCCTTTGTTGTTCAAAAGACCATAACCACATAGTTGACTGCTCTGTGCATACTAAAAACAAGGAGCAAGTTGAACCAATCTCCCTCCTATCTAAACTTTCCTTTTTCTTGGCAACAACTTACTGTCAAAGAAGCATGTTTTCTCAAAGCACAGCTAACACGCTAACTTGTAAAGGTCAGGAGGCAGAGTTTCATGTTGGCTCCTAAGCACTTCCAGGTACTTGGTCCAAGACTAAGCCACCAACTACTTTTCATTTCACGAGTTTCTCAACAGTGCTTCATGTTACACTAATAAACGTTCATTGACTGCAACCGGGAAAGTTGCAAATGTGAAAAGCTGTGTGTGAAATAATGCCTAACACACAGAACAGCTTTGTGCCCAGGAATATCTGGACTCCCACAAACTCAGAGTTTATTATTCTATGAAAGTAAGATAACCAGCAAGCATCCACTGCAGCAGAAGTGAACGAATGAATATGGATGCAGCTGTTCCACACCATGGCACACTCCACTACAGTAAGTTTCTGGCAGGGGAATTCTTGCCATACCCCGCTGCAGGTGGCTTTCTGCACGCTGAATGACACTCGGTCAGGTGACCGCTTAAATTCTGAATAAAGCCTCTCGTGGTATCTACTCTTATGTGAGAATTAATTATATAGTCAAATGAGATCCAAGAATAAGAAGTTTGCTCGCAATGGGAAAGAGTGAGAGCAAACTTTGTGTCCGTTCATCACCAGGTCCCTTGAACAGAGGCTACAGGAATCTGTCACTCATTTAAGCGGCACAAACACTAACGAGATCAGTCTGTGCTGACACAAGTCCAGCTTTGAATACAGTCCTCAATCTGGGTGACCATTCACTAGTCCTTATGAACAAGACTATTTTGGCTAAAAAGCAGTATGACATAGGATTAGTTTTAACTGCTGAAAATGGTGGTCACTTTATCAAAAAAAAAACAAAAACAACAACAAAACACCCAGAAATGTCTCCATTTCTACAAGGAGATTTCAGAAACTTCATGGAAAATGGGATGTAAAGGTAACGAAATTCTTCAACAACCTTTTGAAGCCCCCTTGTGTTTGTCAGAGTAAAGGTCAATTGTTGTGGTTGCGGTTTAAAGTGCCATTGAGTCGGTTCTGACTCATAGCGACCCAAGAACAGGGTTTCTGAAGAGCAATTGGTAGATCTGAACTACCAACCTTGTGGTTTGCAATCCAGGTCTTATCCCACAGCATCATACCAGGAGTCCAAAGGTCAACTGGACAAGATCAATATTGCCTCTCATTATCAAATTTAACTGGAGGTTAAACAACTCAACTGGCCACTGTCAGTGGTATTAAGATGGTTCGCCCTCTGCCCATATATAGTCAGAGAGGCTACCCGTGCTGCCCTTCAACTCCACAAGGTGCATGAGAGTTATGGAGAAGAACACATCAGAAAAGAGACTGTCCTTACAGAGAAAAGAACCCATGTACATGTTGTCTCCAAAGGTACTACCACCTATATATGCTCTGCTCCCACACACACTAAGACAGAAGCAGGTCTTCACGGATGACTGCAAGAGACAGAAACAAACACACCATTTCTAAGTGCTAGGCCCAATCACCTCAAAAGCCAGAGAGCACAGATGAAGTTCTCAGGAAAAGAGATGATGACGAGGTGATGCTCTGAGTGTTTAGCAGAGAGAAATACACAGCCATCTCAAACATGTGGAAAAGGCATAAATACAGTCTTTAACAATGAAGCAGGTCCACAGTAGATGATCCGCATGCACAATTTACTGAACTAGGAGTAAGCTGCAGGAAGAGGGCGACCAAGCTGCTCAGGGCTACCAGGGCACACTTCACAAGAACTCTAACAATGATAGTTTGTGTAGTCATAAGAGACATGTCCTCTTCCCTCCTTATCACACCCCGAAGACACTGACTGGGAAAGCAAGAGAAGGGACAGAGAGTTTGACAAAATTTCATCAACCCACAGCACTAAGGTACCTTTAAAAACTATGTATACAATGCACAGTATAGAATACAACGTAGCCCTTAAAAATAACAAGAATGAGAGAAAAGGGGGTTGGAATGAAAAGAAAAGGAGAAGGAGGGGGAGGCTCATCTGTGTGTAGTAAACTAACAGTTTTACTTTGAAAATGACATGGAATCAAGGATTTACTTTGCCTTTATTACACAAACTCTTCCTCAGGAAAATGAAAAGAGTTAATAAACTAATGTTCTTTATAAAAGAATTCCAGATAATGAATGCAGAAAGAGCAAGAGGCTTAGAATAGCAGTGTGTTTTTTTTTTTAATTTCTAAAGAAATCATGGTTCTAGGCAATGATTATCAATGGTTGCTCAAACCACTGACAGAAAACCTGATAGGGAACTTTGTAATAGATGGACAGGCTGGCACCGTCTGCATTTATGCTGGCCAATCTTAAAATATGGCACTGTGGGTAAATGCACAGTACTGCAAAGTCAGTCTGAACCAAAAGGTCAGTGGTTTAAACTCACCAGCTGCTCCTCAGAAACCCTATACAGGGTTGCTATGAGTTGGAACAGAATGGACACCACTCAACAACAACAATCCTAAAATTACAATAAAAGCTTCAAGCATATACTCTATGCATGCTGATGTACACAGCACTACAAAAGCATACACTCTATGCCTCCTGATGTACACAGCACTACAACATGTCCTAACCCCTACATACACACACTCATACAAAACCTAAATAGCGCCAAGGCTTTATATCTAAATACAAGTTAGTAATAGATACAGGAGTTTGAAAAATCAGCTACGTAACACTGCACAGCTATAAACAGCAAAACCAGAGAATGGAAACATAAGGGGTAGAGAGAGGAGGAATTTAAAATTTGAGAAGCACACAATACTCTGTGAGGGGTAAATTCTATATGTCTTGTGATAGTTCTTGTCCTGGGATACCTTTCCAAGGATGTTTGTAAAACAAACAGTCTTAGAAGATGGCAGAGAGCAGGTTTGTTTCCTGACCAGAACAATAAGGACAATGACAAAGGTTGGGCATGTGTGTTAGCAACCTTCTTAAAAGACAGGCTTTCCTGTGCTTGGGGTTCCTCAGCTGTGGTACTGACCCAGTTTCATCCCTATGAGACTCAGGAAACAAGGAGAGTCTCATGTGACTATGTGAACCTGTGGCCTGCTTTGCTGGGAGCGGTGGTGGTAGTGGTGGTGGTGATGTGCTGTGGAGTCGGTTACAATTCATAGTGACCCTGTATAGGGTTTCCGAGACTGTAAGTCTTTACAGAAGCAGAAAGCCTCATCTTTCTCCAGCACAAATGCTGGTAGTTTTGAACTGATGACCATGAGATTAGTAGCCCAACGCGTAACCACTGCGCTACCAGAGCTCCTTGTGCTGTGAGTAGTAAGTAAAATTTTCGTTGCTGACATTGATGAAAAGGTGACAGGCCAACTAGCTACTTTGCAGACGGAAATCTTTCAGAGCCATCACAGTCTTAGTCATCATCCTTTGTGGCTGTAGTTAGAATCAACTCAACAGCAACCAACATTTTAGGATTGTTTATGTCTATAATCATTAAGAATGGAAGAGATCCATTTTTGTGTCCATTTCAAAAAAGAAGACACATGATCAAACAGTATCATTAAGATCACTTTAATTCAACAATGGTTACAGCAGCACATCTACAAAGAGCTGCCAGAAATTCAAGCTGAATTCAGAAGAGGACCTGGAACTAGGGTCTGATGTCAGATGGATCTTGGCTGACAGCAGAGAATACCAGAAAGAAGTTTCCAAGTTGATTATGCCAAGGCATTCTACTGTGTGGGTCATAGCAAATTATG